AGTAGTAGTAGTAGTAGGAGTAAGAGGCATCACCCATGCTTCTTGGAGCTTGGGCTGTCCAGGCTTCACATTCAACCGATCCAGAATGCAGCGACACATCCCTCCTCATGTCGACGAACTTCAGCATAGGTCACATTGGAGAGTTGCAGCTCCTGGTGCAATCACGTGGCTGTGCTGATGCTACTGGCGACGAGGCGGAGGAGAAGGAGAAGAAGAAGGAGCAGGAGCACGAGGGCTAGGACAGATGTAGACCAAACTGATGGTCATGATTCAACGATTGTGAAGGGAGGAGGCAATACTGATTAAGACGAAGCTCATGCTGATGCTGAAGAAGAAGATGAAGAGAACGAACAATAATGACAATACTATTAATACTAGTAGTGGTGATAATAATAGAAAGACGAATATCAACACATGCTGATGATCATGATGATGAAGAGGATGAAGAGGATGACGACGATAGTGATGGTGGTGATGGCGATGATGAAAACGACGATGACAATGAGGATGGAGGCTTCAGATGCTGATGGTGATGATGATGACGATGATGATGGGTATGACGATGATGATGCTGGTGCTGGCGACGATGATGATGATGACGATGATGATGATGATGGCGATGATGATAGTCATGATGATGAGGAGTATGATGATGATGAAGATAATGAGGGCGATGAGGATGGTTAATTGTTATGATTGATTGTGATGACCTGAGCAGTGAGGAGGATGACAGAGTGGCCGGTGATGTGGGCGGTGACAACGAACGTGCTGAACAATGCCACCATCATCACGCAGCTTTTCGGTCTGGCACGGATTGCTAATTAGCGAGTACACTCGGAGCCTGCTGGGCACCGTTGTGGAATGCGGAGTCTTTGATGTAAGGCGCAGGGCGCAATCTGATTCTGGGAGTGCAATGGCGTGGTTTGGGACGTTTACGGCCCTGGTTCGACGCTGCTGCCACCCCAAACCCCACACCCCCAAGCCGCTCTGAAAGCCCTGAACCCCCCTAAACCCTAAACCCTAAACCCTAAACCCCTAAACCCCTAAACCCCTAAACCCTCAAACCCAGAAGCCCTAAGCTCCCCGGCAACGGACCAGGCTCTGCTCCTCTGTGCGCTTCTCAAGGAAGCCAGCAGCAGAACTCTTCTGTCCTGTCTCCTCCAGAGAAGCCAATAAGGCTTAGGGTTTAGGGTTTGGGGTTTAGGGTTTAGGGATTCGGGTTGAAGAGAATTTTGAAGGGATCGGAAATTTCGAAGTTTCAGATTCTGGATTGGAGGGTTTACTGAAGATTAAGGGGTGACACTCTTCAGGTGTTTCGGGCTTATGTGGTTTCAGATTTGACGGCTTTGAAGTTGAAACTTGTAGTGTAAACTCCGAAGCCCTTCAAAGCTCTCGGAACATAGGACTCCCCTGTCCAAGCCCTAGGCCAAGTGACTTTACTGCCCAAGCGTCGCCTTGAAAACTGTACCCTAGAACCTGTTATCGAGTAACGTTCTGTTCTTTTGACTGGCACTAATGTAGGGGCCTTAATAATCAGAAAAGGGTTTTTGGTCCCCTTTGTACTATAATCATAATAAGGAACCCCCCAAAAAGTATGGGTAACTATTAAGGCCTATAATTATAAAAAGGACCCCCAAAAAACTAGTATTGGTAATTATTTAGGCCCCTACATTACCAAAAACCCTAAACTCTAAACCCGAAACTGAGAAAAAGGCTATATGCATGAGCCCTACATCACCAAAAAGGCTCTAAAGACGTCACTGTGTCGGCCTTGAACTCGTTCACGAGTCTGGTGACAATCGCACACTGTGGATCACCCTCGGGAATGTAATAGGAAGTCCTTGGCTTCGATTCTATGCAGCCCGTCTCAGAATGTAATGTGAAGTCCTTGGCTTCGCTGAAAACAGGGATTCTATGCTTTGCCTCTCTCTCTCTCTCTCTCCCCCTCGTTCTATCTCTCTCGCTCTCTCTCTCTCTCTCTCTCTCTCTCTCTCTCGCGTTCTCTGTCTGTATACATGTAAATGCACATACATATACATACACAGCATAAATACAGATACATATGCAAAGACATGCATAAAACTCACTTTGCGCATACATACACACATACATACATGCATGCATGCGTGCATACAAACAAACAAACATACATACATACATACATACATACATACATACATACATACATACATAGGTATGTACCTATGTATGTATGTATGTATGTATGTATGTATGCATGTATGTATGTGTGTATGTCTGTATGTCTGTATGTCTGTATGTCTGTATGTCTCTATGTCTGTATGTCTGCATGTCTGTATGTATGTCGTATGCATGCATTTATGTATGTATGTGTGTATGTTTATCTGTATGTATGTATGTATGTATGTATGTATGCATGTATGTATGTATGTATGCCGTATGTATGTATGTATGTATGTATGTATGCATGCATGCATGCATGCATGCATGCATGCATGCATGGATGCATGGATGGATGGA